ATCTCTCAGCCGCCTTTGAATACTCTCCCTCTCTCAAACTCTCTCGAAGGTTCCTGAAACCCTAGCCTCTCTCACCCCCCTTCAACCGCAATCTCACCAGAACCTATGGCTTCTCAGGCCATGGATGGCTTGTACTCACCCTCCTCCACCATTAAACCCTGGGTGTCCGAAGTTTCGAGGTCCGACCTCGATGGTGTCCTTTCAGATCTCTACAGATCCAAGGTTCTATGGCCTCTCTGGCCTGTCTCCGGCGTATTCAAGCATCAGAAGCATATTTCTGACCTCTCCGACTCAAGATCGGACCTTCTTCCAAGCCTTTCTCATTTCTAGGGTTTCTCTGAAACCCTAAGCTATTCGAGGTTTTCTCTGGTTGTTTTCTTATATCTATGTTATGTCTGTGCTCTACTTGAGTTCTTAAACGTTTTCCCTAATTTTCTTTCAAAAATTACTTCTCTTCGATTTAGGGTCTCGGAAAAGGTTTTAAAATGTTTTCCGACTCCTCTTCTTCTTCTATTTGTGTGAATCTGTCTATGCTATGTTCTTATGTTCTCTTTTCTACCTCGTATGTCTTTCTCCTGTGTTATTATGTTTGCCTTATTTTGCATATCCTTCTATTGTGCTTCGTTCTTTCTTCGACTGGTTTCTATATCATGCTTTCACATGTTTATCTTATGTGTCCGTTTACCCCTATGTTCTTTTACTGTATTTTCTACTAAGCTTTTAGGTCTTTAGTTGCCTTCTTCTGGATTTTGTTTGAGTTCTTTGCTAAACATGTTTCCTCTACTGTTCACTTAAGTGCTATACTATCTCGTTTCTCTTCTGAAACTTGTTTAAGTTCCAAGCTTTCTTAAATCTTTATGCTTCAAATCAGTTCTTCATTCTGTTTTCCTTGAACCTGCTATTTTATCTGTTTGTTTTCACATGAATCCTTGAAAGAGACCTCTGAGCCTGTTTCAATTATTTGTCTTCTCTTCTCTGTATCTGACTCGAGTTGAAAACCCTGGGATTTGGGGGTTTTTTGGAGAGTTTGATCTTGTGTTTTGGACTAGGGTTCTATTTGGGACCCTAGATACTCTCAAACGCATTCTGAGTCTATGTACTGGATTTGAGCCTCTTTGTTATGACCCGGAACTCTTCTATACTATGCTTTTTCGCATGATAGTTCTTTCTTGTTCGATATGTCTGTATGCTTTATATGTGAGGAATTTTGCATTCAAAAGGTTTTGTCAACTTGTGATTGATTTGGAATTCCTTTTAATAAGGTTTGATTGATTGTTACTGATTTTCCTTAAGTAAAACCCTTTCCTTATCTTTCCTGACTTGGTTCATTCGAACAAAGCCTGCAGTTTTGATTTTACTAGTTGTTGAGTGAATGCCTTTCCTTATTTGCACGAACCATGTACCACTGGACTTTTGCCTTAAATAATTTCTGTGTATTTACCCTTCTTGTGCTACTTTGGAAAAGATTTTGATCAAACTCTTTCCTTAATTATCTTGCCCGTTTGAAATCGGAATCCCTTAATTGAAGGGAGACCTTATGTGATTGATTTCGAAACTATTTTCTTGCATTTTCTTACTTGCTTTCTGTACTATAAAGAGCACGACCTTTCTGCACTTCTACACACTTCCAATTCAATACTCTTTAAGACCTTGAGTTCAATACTCTGACAACACTTACTGAACGCCTTCAATTTCAATACTCATACATTCTCAATTCAACACTCTACTCTTTTCTGAAATTTTCTGGCTGTGTGTTTGCAAATTGGTTTACTACTACTCTACTCTTCTTATTTCCCTGAAACTGGTATGTTCTAATTTAACTTTCAGCTCCATCCTTATGTGTTTGGTTTACAGTTTCAACAATCTTGTCTACTTTGTTGTTCATGTTCTGTATTGAATATGTTGTCTCTTTGCATCTGTTGTTGTGTGAATTCCCTATACCCTTATTACCTTCTATGTGTTTGAGTTAAAGTTCAAAGCATGGCAACATCCAAATTGTTGCTCATGTCTGGACTTGATCCTTTAATGGATCCTAACTCCCAAACAATGTGGCTAACAGGCTGGTTGGGGTGTGCCAGCACTTCCAATTGCTGGGTACAACCACCAGCCTGTCTTGGCTTTCCCCAAAATCCCCTCTATGCACTTGCACTCTCTCTTAGATTCTAAGTTCTTCCCCCTCCTATGAGCCTTGCTTTGGGACCTTGAGCTCCCTCTGAACTTGGACATTTGAAGGTTGGCCCTTCCATACTGCACTATAATCCAATTCTGCAATATATTTGGGTGTAAGCACTGCCCGGAGTCCACTTGAGACTCTTAGGGAACTCTGACACATCCCAAATAAGAGAAAGGCTTTGGAATTTAATCTTTGGAGTTATTTTACTTCATGCTTCAAACAGAAGTCTGAATCAGGCTCTCCTTGGTTGGGATTTTTAGCTTTCTGATGTAATTTTATTTTACTTTTCTTTATTCATTCTGGGCTGTAATAATTTGTAATAACTTATGGGGTTTTAGTGAAAGGGGAGGGTCACTCATGTATGCATAAGGGTAGATATCATGTTCATAGGTATTTACTGCTGCAATCATGTCCTGTTTTCACTTCTGCATTTTTCATATAGAAATCATGTTTACAAGTCCTGCACTTCTGCGTTTTTCATATAGAAACCATGCCTACAGGTTCTGCATTTCATATAGAAATCCTGTCTATAGGTTCTGCATTTCATACGTAGATACCATGTCTATAGCCTCTGCATTTCATACATAGATACCATGTCTATAGCTTCTGCATTTCATACATAGAGACCATGTTTATAAGTTTCTGCGTTTCTGCCTATCACCTAGAGAACATATCTATAGAGTTTCCTGAATTCTGCATATGCATCTATCACTAGGCAAATGCATTTATAGGCTTAAATAATAAAAATCAGCATTTTAAACACCATGCCTATAGGATTTCTGCATTTTCGTAAAGGTTAAACTCAATAACGCTTAGAAAGCATGTCTATAGGAGTAACCAACTGATCTGAATCATTTACAAGTTTAAAATCAGTAGTAACGTTACTCAATGTCTGCAAAACTTATGTTTTCTAGAATCAACACGCCTTCTTCTTGTAAAAATCTGTACACTTCTACATTATTAGATGTCATGCATGTAGGTTTCACTTAGGCAAGCTATAAGGTAAAATTAGCTAATTGAATCAGACTCTGTTAATTCCAACTAGCAGGCAGGTCTGATTCTGGTTTCTTATCTGAAATGTGTAATAGACCAGTCTGCCTCCTTAACGTTTAAGTTTAATTCAGACCATAACCAGCATCTGCAAGACATGCTAAACAATCTATCTTTAAGTGAGGAGGCCCATCTGAGCCTTTTAAATTGTTATGTGTTTCCCATAATCTGCCTTATGTGTTTTTGTTTGTCGCTTTAGAGTTTTATCCTTTTAAACCATACAAAACCCACATTTTCCTTCCCTTTAGGATTAGTAATCCCAAATGCCTCCGGGACTGAATGGATTGGGGTGGGTACTAGCATGCAATAATTAACGAAACCATTCCTCGTTTAAATACCTCAACAGGGTGGGAAAGGGTAGATATGGATATGATGACCGGTGCACTAATACCACGTGTAACCCCTCTTCTGAGGAGTGATTACCGGGTATTGCATTGATGTGATCCATATTATTTATAAACCTAGGACTCTCCTTCCTTTACTTATTTATTTTATTACTTTCAAAATTTCAAACTCCTTTTTTCTCAAATTTCAAACTCCTTTTTTCTCAAATTTCAACTTCCTTGTTTCTTCAAACTTTAATTTATTTGCAATCACCATGTGACAACCCCTCATATTTGAAAGCCTTAATTGCTTATTTATTGT